AGAACAAGCTTTCAATAGAAATTGCAGTAAAAATGGCAGAAATAAATCGGTTTCATTAAATCTCCAAAGAGAGGATACAATGCTTAAATACATGCCAAGAGAACTATCTAGAGTGTGGACACCACATATTCCCTATATGGTAAAAAGGATTCAAAATTCAAAATTTACATGGGGTAATAGTACTGCAGCTCGAGCTGCCATATTTGTCTTTATGTGCAGAGTTTGTTACGTCCCTTTGGCTGCATGCATCATGCATGTTGTGTTGCATGTTGTGTTGGCACGTCCCTCATGGCTGGAGTCTGATGAAATGGATGCCGAGGTGTGTGATGACATGGCTGTTATCCTTTTATGCCCCCTCAATTCGAAACTCGGTTGGGAATGAACATTGAGAGAGTGACGCAACCGGTTGAAGGATTGACCACTCAATGGTTTGGTAAGAATATCAGCTACTTGAAATAAGGAGGGAACATGTTGTACAGAGATGACCTTAGTATCTACTTTCTCCCTGATAAAATGCATGTCAATCTCAACATGCTTTGTTCTTGAATGATGGACAGGATTTGAAGCCAATGAGATAGCACCAAGATTATCAACCCAAATAACAGAAGGAGTTTGAGCAGGTATATGTAATTCTTTCAGCAAAGATTGAAGCCATATGACCTCACAAGTAGCCGAGGCTAAACTTCTTAACTCTGATTCTGTGCTGGACCTAGAAACCAAATGTTGTTTCTTAGAACTCCATGAAACCAAGTTCTTACCAATGAAAGTGCAGATACCTGATGTGGACTTTCTATCATCAATATCTGAGGCCCAATCTGCATCTGCAAAGGCAGAAATTTTGAAGGAAGAGTCTTTATAAAACCTCAGGCCATGGTCTATAGTCCCAGCTAAATATCTGAGGACCCTTTTAAGTGCCTTCATGTGACTGTTCATAGGCTGCTGCATAAATTGACTTAATTTATTTATACTGAAGGCAATGTCTGGTCTTGTGATGCTTGCATACTGCAATGCTCCTATCAAGCTCCTGAAAAGGTAACCATTATCAAGAGGATGACCTTCAAACTTTGATATAGGGGAAGAGACCATAGGAGTGTTCAGAGGTTTGGAATTTGCCATTCCAGCTCTTTTAAGAATGTCAAGAATGTATCTTTTCTGAGACAAGAAACATGAATCTACATGATTGCTGAATTCAATACCAAGGAAGAATTTCAAGTCTCCTAAATCTTTCAATGAGAAAATCTGTGAGAGATCTGTGATGAGCTGTTGAATATGGCCATTGTTGCTTCCTGTGATTATCATGTCATCAACATATGTGAGAATTAAGGTAGTGTCATGAGTAGTATGTCTGTGATACAAAGAGGGGTCAACCTTGGACACACTAAAACCAAAAGACTTCAGAATGCAGGTTAACTTAGAAGACCAAGCTCTGGATGCTTGCTTGAGTCCATAAATGGACTTGTTGAGCTTACAAACCAATGGCTTTCCATCTTTGTTTCTTTTCTCAAAACCTGTAGGTTGCTCCATGTACAAGGCAGTATCCAAGTCACCATTTAAAAAAGCATTATCAAAGTCCAATTGCCTGAGTTTCCAGGATTTTGCAATGGCCACAGATATGATAGTTCTAATGGTAATAGGTTTTACCACTGGACTATAAGTATCATTATAGTCAAAGCCTGCTTGCTGAGTGTAGCCTTTGGCAACTAACCGAGCCTTGTACCTTGCTACCTTTCCTTCAGCATCTCTTTTAACTTTGTAAACCCATCTGCAGCCTATTATGTTTTCATGTTGAGGGGCAACACATAAACTCCAAGTGTTGGAGTTGATAAGAGCTTGATACTCCTTGTTCATGGCCTCAGTCCATTCTTTGCTTTGGGCTGCTTCTTCAAAGCTGTTAGGCTCTTCCACATCCTGGTTTACCTGCTGGGAAAACACTTTGGGTTTGAATATCCCATGCTTAGACCTTGTCACCATATGGTGCTTAGTGGTCTTTTCAATTTCCCTGTCAATCTCATTATCATTTTGATTAGAAATAGCAGGAGTTCTGACACTATTATCAATTGGCAATTCTATAAATAGCTCTCCTATTGGGATAGAATTTGTGGGAGATGAATTTGAAGGAGTCTGAGAGCTGTGAGTACTCATTTGATCAGAGTTGTGATGGCTGTTTTGAGGTTGAGGAGTACTGTTTTGAGGAGAGTTGTGATGGTTGGTTTGAGGTTGAGGAGTAGAGGTTTCTTCTGATGAGTGAGTGGTGTGAGGTGGAGGTGTGACAGATGATGAGCTTGGTAAAGGGAAAGGAGTGGCTGCAGGAATTTGGTTCATAGAACTGAAGGATTTCTCACCAACTTGTTTTTCAAGGAAAGGAAATTTAGACTCATTGAATTGAACATGTCTGGTTATTATAATCTTGTTGTTGGGTAAAAGCACTTTGTAACCTTTATGTTGGGTACTATAACCAATGAAAGTGGATGGTTGGCTCCTGAATTCTAACTTGTGCTTGTTATAAGGTCTAAGATATGGGAAGCACAAACATCCAAAAACTTTGAGCTCAGAATAGTTAGGGGCAATCCCAGTTAAAGTTTCTAGAGGGGATTTGTAACTGAGAAGTTTTGAAGGCATCCTGTTGATAAGATAGGAAGCTGTGGTAAAGGCTTGATCCCAGAACTTAGAAGGCAAATTGCTTTGAGAAAGAAGGGTCAGACCAGTCTCAACAACGTGTCTATGCTTTCTCTCAGCAAGACCATTTTGTTGAGGTGTATATGGGCAAGACAACCTGTGATGAATCCCATTTTCAGAAAAGAAAGGAGTTAAGGCTTTGAATTCAGTCCCCCCATCACTTTGAATTTTCTTGATTTTTCTGTCATATTGGTTTTCAACAAGGTTTTTGAGATGAACAAAAGCTGCTTTAGTGTCTGATTTAGATTTCAGGAGGTAAAGCCAAGAATATCTAGACTTGTGATCAATAAAATTAACATAATAAAGGAAGCCATTAGATGACTTGATGGGTGCTGGTCCCCAAAGGTCAGTGTGAATCAATTCAAGCAAGTCATAATCATTGGACACAGAATCACTAAAAGGCAGTTTATGAGATTTTCCTTGAACACAAGATTGGCACAATTCCTTATTCTCATTGACAGAAAATGAAGTATTACAACTACTCAAAGCTTTCTTAACAATATCTAAAGATGGATGGCCAAGTCTGGAATGCCAAATGGAAATGTCTTCTTTAGAGCTTTGAAGAGAGTTGATGGTGATATGGTTCTGAGGGGAGAAAGGAGTAGTAGAGCTGGGATCATCACTGAGGCTTGAAAGGTTGAAGCTATAAAGACCTCCACTAACCTTCCCTTCTAGCAAAGTCTTGCCTGTTGTTTGGTCCTTCACAAGACAATAAGTGGGATGAAATTCAAAAAAGACATTGTTATCAAGGGCAAATTGAGAGACACTGATCAGATTTTTGGTGATGTTAGGCACATGAAGCAAGTTTTTAAGAACAAAGGCAGAATTATTGTGAGGTTTTGAGCTTAAAATAGAATTGCCAATATGAAAAATAGGTAGTCTCTTACCATTTCCAACCTGCACCTTCTCTGGTCCTTGGTATTCTGAAGCAAGACTCAAGTTTTGCAGATCATAGGTGACATGGTTGCTTGCACCTGAGTCTGGATACCAGAGATCCACTTGGCTCTTCTCATCACTCAGATTCACTGAAGGTGTATTGTTCATCAAGAGGTTTGTGGAGTGTACTGCAGGAGTGAAGGGCTGGTTCCTCTGTGGTTGTCCATGACTGTTGTTGTGGTTTGTGTTGGGCACAAAGCTTTGATCAAACCTGTGCCAACACTTGTCTGCAGTATGGCCAGTGTAGAAGCACACCTGGCATCTGGGCTTTGCACCATTTCTTCCTCCTCTTCCTCTTGAGGAGTTGGTGTTCCTTCCTCCTCTACCACGGTTTCCTCTTCCTCTGTAGGATGTTTGTCCAGCAAAGTTGATACTTGGAGAAGAGCCATCTAGGCTGAAATGATTTCCCTCAAGGTTGCTTGCTTCAAGTCTTGTTTCAAAACTCAATAGTAGGGAGTGCATCTCTAAGCACAGGAGTTTCCAGTTTGGACATGATTGAGACCATAACTGGGTTATATTCTTGCCCCAACCCAGCTAAGATGTGCATAACTTGCTCTTCATCACTCACTCCTTGCCCAGCAGCTCCTAATGTGTCACAGCAGGTTTTGATTTGATTCAGATAATCCCTCATGTTCAGGTTGCCTTTTTTTAGTGTTTGCAGCTTTAGCTTGTGCTGTAAGATTCTAGCCTTTGATTGGCTTGAGAATCCTATTTCAAGACTCTCCCAGATCTCCCTTGAAGTGGTCAAGCCAACGGTGGTGACAAGAAGAGACTCTGACAGAGATGAAAGCAACCATGAGGCTAGGATTTGGTCCTGCCTCATCCAAAAAAGGAACTCTGGATTCACAGTGGTGGGATCTTCTGAGGATGATTGGAGAAACTCCTCTGGAATTTTCTGAGTCTTAGAGATGTAAGGTTGCAGCCCATACCCTCTTATGGCAGTTAAAACTTGCTGCTGCCATATCAAATAGTTGTTTTCATTTAGCTTAATGGTAATAAGCTGGCTTTGAGGGAAGATAAGTTGGGTTGAATCTGAGGTGAAGGAAGAAGGGCTTGATGTGGTGGACATGGTGCAGAGGAGGAAGAAAAGGAAAATAAAAAAAAGGATCTGAGAGTCTCCAGGCTATCCTGGAGCTCTGATACCATGAAAGAACTTTGCCTTCTTCATGTTAGTGAGAGAACAAGCTTTCAATAGAAATTGCAGTAAAAATGGCAGAAATAAATCGGTTTCATTAAATCTCCAAAGAGAGGATACAATGCTTAAATACATGCCAAGAGAACTATCTAGAGTGTGGACACCACATATTCCCTATATGGTAAAAAGGATTCAAAATTCAAAATTTACATGGGGTAATAGTACTGCAGCTCGAGCTGCCATATTTGTCTTTATGTGCAGGGTTTGTTACGTCCCTTTGGCTGCATGCATCATGCATGTTGTGTTGCATGTTGTGTTGGCACGTCCCTCATGGCTGGAGTCTGATGAAATGGATGCCGAGGTGTGTGATGACATGGCTGTTATCCTTTTACAAAGCCATAGCAAAATCAAGAGGTAATATATATGTATGATTTTTTATTTTTTTTTTCTTTTTTCCCTTTGTGGCACATATATACTTTTACTAATTCTTAGACAAACGAAAGGACAAGACGTGAAACCTAGGTGAGCAACAGTTCGGTTCAGTGTAAAATGGCTCGATTTGAACAAAGAAAAGAAACTGAAATCGATCTTACAGTAAAAATAACCGAACTAAAATGCACCCACTTGAACGATTTGGCTCGATTTTTTTTTTTTTTTTTATTGCGTTTGGGTAAGGTTGTGAAGAAAATAATGGCATCACAGTGCAACACATGATGACATGAATGAACGAGCTGAATTGCATGGTTCAGCTCGGTTTTACGCCTTCTACACTGCACTTATGTTTTGCTGAATTAATGTTATTATTATTATTTTTGCTTTGATTTAGGGATTCTTTTGTTGTATATGCTAACAATGTGCCAGGAGCTCCATTGCCTTCAGGGCCACCACCTAATTCTCACCCAAAGTAAGTAAGAAAATAAAATAAAATAAAATAAAAACCTTTTTTTGGTTCCTAAAAATTGCCTCTAATTAATTAGTTTCTATATTTTGTGATATGAATTATGAAATTATCTAACTAATTGTCATGCAAACAGGAGTTGGATTATTGGACTTGTTCTATCACTTGTGCTACCTTTTTTCACCCACAAATGGGGCCCATTATGGGTGGTTAAAAGTAAGCTAATAATTAATCTACAATTAATTCATTAATTTTCTTTAAATATACCATAGTATTAATTTGCAATAATTATGCCTTAATAATTAATCTTTAATTTACGCGTAATTAATTTTTGCTAGGTAGGATCGACAACGCGGTTCAAACGGTGGAGGACATAGTCGAGGCCGTGGAGAAAGTAGCCGAGAAGGTCGATGAGATTGCAGAAGACATAGCCGAAGATCTTCCAGATGGAAAATTAAAAGATTTTGTGGAATTAATTGAAAATGTGGCTGAAAAAACAGCTAAAACAGCTGACTGCATAGATAATGTCATTGACAAGGTACATTTTGCTTGCTAATTATTATTATCATTAGTTAAGTATTATTATTATTGTTATTATTATTATTATTGTTATTATTATTATTATTATTATTATTATTATTATTATTATTATGGAATTGCTATTAAAGGATTAATTAAATTATTGAAGTGAAATTAAATTTGGTGCAGGCTCAGGAAGCTGAAGATGAGGTAGAGGAGATGATATCTAAATCTCTAGTCAAAAAGCCCAAAAGTTCGGCAAAGCAATAACGAAATTAATTAAAGTAGTCGTGACAAATTAATTAACATGCATAAATCATTTTTTCCCTTCATTAATTCTTTTAGGATAATTGTGTATTTGATTAAATTAGTTCACATTGTTTAGTGTTTTAACTAATTAACTTTTATATATATATATATAT